AGTGCAGCATTTTAAAATCGTGAAAGCTTGAAATCAATAGTTTCATACATGCACATCGCAAAATTAGAAACATCCCAGCTTCTTTCTTAGTGCAGAACCCACCCTGGAGTTAAGGGGGAAAATACTCAATAGAAAACTCCTTAGGAGAACTTTTTTTTTTTTTTTAAGGAAAACTAGTTTGGCCTACATCTGTTTAAGACTGCATAAGCACCACGGGGACGCGAGGCGTGCCAGGAGAATCTCTTCCACTCTACAGACCTTAAGTCTTGCTCTCTGCTTCAGGGGAATAGTGGTGAAAATGTGTGGAGATTACTGCCATTGATCCCCCTCTCGGCTTTGGTTTGCTCTCCAGATGAGAACTGGGAAACGAATTAAGCTTTCCTAAGGACATCAGGAGGTGGGGAAATTAAGCTTCCAAATGTTAATGCATTCCTCAAGCTCAGGTCAACCTGACTTTAGTGTCCCCGTGGTGATTTACGTCCACTGAGACTCTGGCACTTGAATGTACAATTGACCTTTAACGACTTAATGGTCTCTGCACCTTGAGACTGAAGGTAGGAGTAATGGGAAAGCCACTGGCTTAGCTTTGGGTCTTTCTAGATGAAAGCGAGAAGGGAAATCGTGTCGGAAAGCTGTATCAGGAGCTCCATCTCAGGATGGAGGATTTATCTGCTTGTTTGTTTATTTTAAGAAGCCCCTGGAATATTTCTCTCGGCGGCCAAGAAGCGAAGGACCTATGAAGTCATCCGGATACTCCCGCTGGGAGTCCGTTGCTTTAAAGTATCCACTACAAACAAGCAAACAAAGCGGTGTAATGGTCAACCAGAACGAAACAGCTGCCTTAGCTGGAACAGTAACCACAGAGCTTTTACTGTCAACATCGGAACAGCTTCCACGCTAGTAAAATAGAAATGAGAGTAGAAAATGCGCAAAGAGGAGCCGTCCCCGTGGAGCGAGGATAAATTAGTTTTCAAAATGCATGTTATTAGCTGAACATTTCACAAAAATTTTACTTCGTTCCTTGTTCTGCAAATTTTAGATTTCAGGTATCTAATAGAGACGGCTGTGATCTAGAAATGTAGAGGGGTGGAGAGCATAGTACATGGGTATAAAGTATTCACCACCCTCGAACCCCTGCACTTTATACAGAATATTGTTAGTCTATCACCTTTATTAAATATCATCCAGAAAGGTCAAAATCTAAAAAACTGTGAAATTAAGAGTCTGTGGCCTGTCGGCATTTGCTTATATTTAACTGGTTACCAGTGTCATAATTATGATAATGAATTCCAGACTATTCACGATCATAACTTCCTTTCTGCATTTGGCATTCAATTCAAACAATTTATTCTAAAGAATTAGCTCATCTTGTGGTAGAAAGCAATGAAATCTATAGAATGTATTCCACAGGCATTTCATGGCAGTCAGCGAGCTCGTGAGTTTATCTTCTGGAGAACTCCCCCAAAATCAGCATCTGCCTCTTATTTCCTTCATGTCTGGCCTTGTTTGGTTTCTTCTTCTCTTGCACTGCCCAAGTACAGTTTCAGAACGGTAATGTCGAGACGCGTTTCCGATTCCTACTAATGGCATTTACTCCCATATCATCACCGCCTTGTGCTCAGGTTACTTTGTTTTGCCAGGAATGGTCTGCAAGCCCTTTGAAATCAAAATACGTCCACTGAAAAAGTAGTATTGGCACAGAATGGATCAATTAGGAAGGCATGTAGCACAGGAGAGTGAACAAATCTTGGCCATTTTTGTAACAGTGAAGAAGATGCTGGTGATGAGAGGTGGTTATTTCTTTGAAACGCTTCTACAGGTGAAATACTTAAAATTGATTATTTTGCCGATCCCTTTTTATAGATATATGAATGTAAGAATGCAGATCTATTTGTCTGTGTTTGTATGTGAATGTAGGGAAGCGTAGCTATGCCATCAGTAGCTTGCACACACGCAGATGGGAAACGCACCCAAGTCTCATGAAAAAAGACAGCAGGAGAGAACGGAAGCGGGGCTGCTACACATGCGTTGTAGCCAGCATGTGGAGTAACCTCCTGAGGGGACTGCTGAAATAAGGTGCATTGCTCCATGCCAGATACTTTCCCGAGAAGAATATTGGACCAGATGGTCCTTGAGGTCCCTTCCAACCTGGTATTCTATGAAGAATACGCGTAACTGAGGCTAATGGGTTTTGGTTCGGTATTTGTCAGATTAACGGTGTAGGAATTTCATGCTTGGCTATATAATTGAAAAGCCCTAGCTGGGCAATCTGCGTGGTGTTTGTGGATTTGTTATGAGAATTAACGTTGTGTGGCTCTCATACTGTCTCTGTAGGCTTTGTCAAGAGGCAGGCGGGTTTGCGACGTGTCGTACATTCTGTTGCCCGTTCCCCCCAGGCTCAGCTTCTCTGTCGAAGAGAGGTGGAAGGATTCCATTACAACAACATCGCTTTTAGGGAAAATTCTGGCTTCCAGCAAAATGAGCTTATCAGGGGAGAAACCATCCGGCTGGTATGGGGGGTTGATGTCAAGATAGAGGAGGCTGTTGACGTTGAAGCAAGAAGAAGCTATTTACTCAAACAGTGGGGTGGGGGCAAGGATTTTTTCAGTTGGATCAAATAAGGGGAATTTACTGAAAGAGTTTAGCAAAGCAGAGGAAAGAGAAGGGGAAGGAAATGGAGTGCCTTGTGAACGTAGTTCCCTGAGGACTCGCAAAGAGGGAGCGAACTGAAGTGTGGGGCACTGCCGTTGGTCAGCGCGGTTTCCGTATTGTAGTTTGCCTGGTTTTAAAAGGAGAAGAATATTAACATTGTACTTGAATCACAGGAAGGATGCGGGTGTTTGTGTGCGCCTGACATTTCTTTTAGAAAAGCAAAGCGTAGATCCCAGAAACCCGTCATTTTGAGGGTATGCTTGAACTACAGCAGCATCTCCTGCGTTGGCACCAGCTTGTGACTTTGGGGACAATTGGGTGGCGGGGCTCCAGATCCACAAACCGGGAACAGAAACAATGCTCTGAGAAAGTGCCAGGGAGACAAAGCGAAGCAGTGTTGCCGCAGTGTGCCGAGTACGGGCTAGCTGAAAGCGGAGGAGCGCAACACCCAAAGCTTCTGCAGCAAATTAGTTAGACTGGAGCTTCTGGTTCTGTGGAAATAAGTTCAAGAATAAAATGGGAGTTACACAGTTATTACAGATTGGCAGGCATTAAAGACATCTATGGTGCCTTCTAAGATCTTGGCCAGGAAGATATCATATAAAAGCAGACTTTAAGTTATTTATGGACAGGCAGAGCCTGATGTTTTTAATTTTCTAGATAGCTCAGGAGGCCAATCAGATTGGCAACGCCAGCAGAATGTGTCCCAACTCCTACTACCACAGATTAATAAAAAAAATGTTTGGGGGGAAGATTCACAGTATTGGTGGACCTAGCTGTTCCACTCATGACTGAGAATTTAATCTGTTCTCACACTCGGGGAGAAGTCCTCTTTGGTTTATGATGTGCTGTTACATTTTATTTTTTAGTGTCAAGCTGATATAAACAGATTTGTCCTTGATTTTTGGTACTTACTACTGCCCATGCTGAATTCATTTTCTAATCATATGGGGGCCACATGTATTCTTTACACATAGACTGTACTGCACTGCAGAATTTAGTATCCAACCCTTTAAATACACTGCTGTTGCATGCTCAAAGTCCAGCGTATTTATATGCTGTAGATATGTTTACCACTAGCAAATTATGAGGCACTGTAAAAATTGCATTTATCCACGTCATGTTCTACAGTTGTTGTCAACTGGGGACACATGAACGCTTTCTGTGGAGGAAGAAAAAGGACCTCCAAATCTCTGTGCCTCCTGTGTATATGGGTATTTTGACTAGCTCGGTTCATGGAGGGAAACATTTCGTCGAACAGGTAGGCAAGGACAGAAAATGACTGCTGAACAAGAGAGCCAGCAGTGAAATTATCGCTTTCTGCTGAGCGATTGCTCATAAACCTCTTTCACTGTAACCGCGTCCATGTCCTTGAGTTTTGGCCGGGGTACTTGCCATCCACGCATCCTTACGCCTCTTACTCGGAAGGGAAATGCTGGAGCGTGGGGCTGTAGGTGTTCCAGGAGAGAGCAGAGCCAGGCCCCCTCACGTGCAAGCCGACGACTGACTCAGTCGTTACATTATTAGTAATACCTCTGCTAAGTCATAGCCCATGTGCGTATCGCGTGATGGATGACCAGGGATCAGACCGTCGGGCTTTCAGTATCGCACGTGCCGTGAGAGCTGGTCCCGAGTCACTGCCATCGGACTTGGGCACGCTCAGGAAAAACCAACGCAATGGTTCCGCTTCCCAGGGTTTGTATCATCCCGAAGGGATGCCGTAAAGGTCCAGGGGTTCGGCTGCTAGCTGTAAAATAGTGCCCAAATCATGGTTCACAGGCAGCACGCTGCCTCCGGGATCCTTTGACGGTGCTCACAGCTACGAGGAAATTAAATGATCAAAAACGAGGCCAGCGGGGAGAGAAGCGTGTGATGCTGCTGTGTCATGTTTCTTGTTCAGTACCGTTGCCCACTGGCCAAAGGAGGTGGGGGAACC